TTTTTTTTTTTTTTTTTTTGTTGCCCAGGCTAGAGTGAGTGCCGTGGCGTCAGCCTAGCTCACAGCAACCTCAAACTCCTGAAACTCCTGGGCTCAAGCGATCCTGCTGCCTCAGCCTCCCGAGTGGCTGGGACTACAGGCATGCGCCACCATGCCCGGCTAATTTTTTATATATATATCAGTTGGCCAATTAATTTCTTTCTATTTATAGTAGAGACGGGTCTCGCTGTTGCTCAGGCTGGTTTTGAACTCCTGACCTTGAGCAATCCGCCCACTTCGGCCTCCCAGAGAGCTAGGATTACAGGCGTGAGCCACGGCGCCCGGCCTTACATTCCATTTTGACTATTGTTTTCTTATTCAGAACTACCCAGGGAAGAAAGGAAGGCTTCTCTCTGAGCCATTCACCACAACTTACCGAGGAAACATCAGCATGACCACTCCCAAAGACCTCACACCTGGAAGGCTAACTCTGGAAGGTGGGGAGTAATTCAACCTGATCAAAAATAATTTATGATTGTCACATTCATCAATAATTTTATCTATGTTATGTTCTTTGGAGGAATAGGATTTGATTGCATTTTGAGAATAAATTTAATGAATCTCAATGATGATGATAATATGGCTCATGTCACTGAAGAATTGTTTGGGAATTGACACTTTCTATGTTCTTTTATCCCCCCAGTTTCTAAGATCAGAGACTTATTATGTTAATTTCTAGAGCTCAGCTATTGTTTGTTTTCCCTCCTTCTCAAATTCTCTCTGGCTCTTTCTCTCTACCTTCTCTCCCCTATCCTCTGCACCTTGCCTCTGCTACTGACATTTCTGGCATCCATCCCTCATTCAGTTGACCTTTCCAAGGTGAGGAGATCTAATAATGTTAGTTTGTCATTACCCAATAAGGTACACTCCTGTTGGCCTGATCAACAATGATCAGGGTAGCAGAACTGGTTTTACTCTAAGAACCCAGTTTCTTTTCCTCAAAAGTTTTAGTAGGGGAAGTGTAGCTGGAAAATCTTCTGAAGTTCCATAACCCATTGAATACAATCCAGTTTAGCAAAGAGCTGAAAAACCCTCAGGTAAGGGTTAGCTAAGGAGAGAGCGAGCAACAAGGTATCATAAGCAATGACTGCTCTCCCTTTCCTGTTCAATATAGAGAGATGATGGAATTGGCCTTGAAATATCTTTCTCAGCCATGTATGGAGGGAAAGCCCAGGCAGATATTTATTTGCCCCTTTAACAACAACCTAAGAGTGAATGCCTGAAGGTGTGAGAACTTGGCTCTCAGCTTCCACATTGCCTTTATGGCATGGCCCCTGCTGACCTCTGCAGTTTCTTCTCTTACTAGTCTACACATACAGAAGACTCAGCTGTAACTAATTATTTGCAGTTCTCTGATTGCTTCAAACATTTGTAGAAGCAGCTCTCTCTGCCTTTTCAACCTTTATAATGTTTATTGCCCAGCCAACTTTTACTTGAATTCAAGATTCAACATCAGCATGATCTCCTCCATGAAACCTCATGAGTGCGCTTGGTAGCCCAATGTGGCAGACTCTATTCCTTGCCAACACAAAAGCCACACTTCTTTCCATTCTTTCAAATGGATCACCAGTTTGTTCAGAAATCAGGCAAGGATCTCTGGTTCTCAGGAAAGGTAGCTTCAGCAACTGGTCTGGGAACCCTCATGGGACCAATTGGCAGCCAGTAACATGCAAGGAGAAAGTTTGTTGGAGGGTTTCAAGGGAGGGTTTTCTTTCCTTGTTAAAAGGACATTACACAAAGAGCAACTGACTTGCCACACCACCTCCTGCTGCCTGCATTTGGGCACTTTTTTTGTTAGGACAAGTGTGCCAGAACACTTTTGTGTGGCAGCCATCATTTGGCTTTGATAGGAAGGCCAGTGGAATTGCAGAGACGGCTTGATGCCACTGAGCCGCTGAGCCCCAATTTGTGGAAGCACTGGTGGTTGATTTTTTTGTTGCTTGCAACTGAAAGCATTCTCATTACCTCCTCCGTGTGCATAAATGCAAATACTGAGTGTCATGTCCTCAGAATCAGTTCTGCCTGAGAGTGAAAACATCTTCACCCTTAAATAGTACCATATTATTGATAACAAGAAAACATCTGTAATTGGGTATGTTTGGACACATACTTACTATGCCAATAAATATAAGACAGCTACACTGGCAAAAAGATCTCCTTCTATCATTGAGTCATAGAGTTTAGTATAAACCCATATTGACCAAGCAAATTGTCTTTGCAGCATGCCTGCATACAGAGATACAACAAGAACAACTTCTTTCAGCTGAGTAGAAATAAAAATAATTTCTGCTCTAATGATTTTCATAGTCTCCCAATAAGAAGACCAAACCTCACATTATGAGAGCCAAGAAATCATCCATCATCAGCTATAAATGTTTCTTGGTCTATATTATTTCTGTCCCAGACACTGGAAGCCTGGACTTCTCCCAGAGAAGAGAACTGTCATCCTGTCACATGATTGCAATTGGCAAGTCTTACCAAGAAAGTTTGGCAGATCCTTAGAACAGGACTAACATATGTTTTATATATGTGTGGGTAGGTGTATATATAGCCATCCATCTACATACATATATGTATACTTATTTATTTATAAGCTCTAGTTAAAGTTAGAAAAATTAATTTAGGTGCATATGGATAAGTCACACAAATTAGCACTAGTTTAAAAGGAATTAGTATAACCCTAAAAGAAATCATTCCGATTTTTCTAAAGTAAAAATGCCAATGCAAATTTTAAAAGTAGAACATCATGTTAATAACTTTTATCTTTAGGTTATTGCTCATTTGTAGCAATGATTCATTCACTCATGCAAGAAGTATTTATTAAACACCAACTACAAAGACACACAAGACACAAAGTCCTTGCGAATCCTATGGTCTAGCAGTAGGGAAAGAAAGAGGAGATCATTCATTCATCCATTCAAAGATTATTACTGAGGACCTTCTATGTCTGTCATGTGTGCTGAAAATATGGAGGTGAAAAAGAAGATACTTTGACAGAACTTATGTAATATGGGGAGAGAAAAATGGTAAACAAACAACAATATATATACATATAAGACAGTGATAAATGCAATGTGGAGACTTCAAATGGAATGGTATGACGAACAGTAACTGGTTGGCTACTTTTAAATTGGTGGCCAGGGAAGACTCCTCTGAAAAAACACTTAAGCTGAGACCAAACAGACCACTGGAGGAGAATGTAAGATGAAGTGAAAGTCTTTTTGCTTCTATTTTTGCCATCATTATTGGTGTTTTAGTTGTTGGTATGTGCGTGTGTGTGTTTAAGAAAGAAATTACTAGATGTGGTTTATGACGCTAGGAGTGATTGAGGAGGGAAGTGGTGATTCAGGAGAGAGTGAGCAGATAATTGAGAAATCAAGCCCCTGAGAAGCTGAGGGGTCAGGAAATCTAGAGTAAAACTAGAAGATGTGCCAGCGATGGCACAGAGACACTTGCTCTATAATAAATTGAGGCAGCAGAAAACAGTTATAGAGTGAGGAGAGTAGGTAATTTTAGATCGGAAAGGTGAGGAATTCTTGTCAAACTACTTCTATTTTCTCAGCAATTTATGAAGCAATGTTATAAGCTGAGAGTATGTAAAATAAAATGAATTAGGAGATTTAAAGAACAAAAACATGAGGTGAAATTATCATTCCAAAAAGTGGAAATGCAAAAGTCCCTTGGGAGTAATAAGATTGCTCTCAACTACCCACTTGAGATTTATGGCCAGAATTTAAAATGATACTAGCCAGTGCAGTTCTTGTGTCTTTACCAATGCTCAGTTGTGTTTGTGCTCTGGGACTATTGAGTATAACAGGGTTGCAGCTTAAACAGGTGAAGGAGTATGGCAGAGGCAAGAGAGTTAAGAGTGTCATCAACAATGGCTTCATAATTTATCATAGGATCTAAGATGGGTAGAACACCATCCTCGGGGAACACCTGAGGAGGGCATATTGATAGTGATATAGTCATATACAACAGTTTAGAAAGTATTAATAAAGTCAAGATGTTGCTTGTATAGATATACTTGATTTCAAGAGCTATTAGGATAGACAGTAGTCAGAGAGTGGCATGCTTGAACTTGAGATATTGAAAATAATGGACTTATTGATGCTTACAAGGTCAAAAGTATGACCATAGATAGGAGTGAGTAGCTGAGGATGGGTAAGAAATAACATCATTCTACTGTAAGGTAGGGAGAGCTGGAAACTGGAGTGCAAAGTATTAGATGTACTATTTGCATGAGTATTAGTGTCAGTAAGAAGTCAATAAGAATAATAGAAGAATAATAAAAAGACAATAAGCCAGGTGCTAAAGTTATCGAAGAATGAAAGTAACTGAATTCTCTAGATGACAACATCCAAAAGGGGCAGCAGGTAGCAAAGTCTGATAGGACAAACTTCAACAGGAATGGAGGTTTGGAAGAATGAAGGAAGAGAGTAGGTTTGGAAATGGCCCTGGAGAACGGAGGAAAAACACTCACCCCAGAGGTAGGCCTGCAGCTAGGTAGGATGCAAAAGAAGAACAGCCTCCACTGCCTAGGACTACAACGGAAGCGATTTTCAACACCGCATAGACAGGTTTTTCCTAGAGCAAGAAAGCAAAGGGAAGATTCAGAGATGAAGTTGAAGATGCAGACAGATTTGCTGATGATGGACCATCAACTCTAAATGGCAGAGTGGAAGGGTTTGGAATGGCAGGAGAAGTGAAACAGCAGGTCTGCTGAGTGATATATGCAGTAGGACAAGAAGGAATATCTAGGCTAGGGGTCAGCAAACTTTTTGATAAAGGGACAGACACTAAACATTTTAAGCTTTTCAGGCCAGATGGCCTCTGTTGCAAGTACTCAACTCTACCTTTTTAGAGTGAAAGCAGCCACATACAATATGTAAAGGAAAGGATATTCCAACTGGTCTTGGCAGTAATCCAATAACATTTTATTTATAAAATGGGCTGGATTTGACAAATGGGTAATAAACAGAGCTCATAATAAAGAGAGCTTGGATTTCTGATGATGACTGAGGTAAGAAGTAGAATCGTGGGTCAAAGTAGGAGTGTTCGATACTTTCCTACTGAAGGAGGAATGCCAGTTTAAGATAGAAGATGTGAAGCTACCAAGAATCTTCTGCTCCCAGGTGTGGTAGACAGGAATGAGAAAAGACTTTGACATGGAACTACTGTGACTGCTTGACAAAGAACAATAATTTGGTGAGTACATCTGCCTTTCAGTGCCCCTGTGTAATACGGAATGGTAGGCTCTCAACTGGAGGCTTGCAACCATCTCTTTTCTAGGATGATTAGTGTCGTTCACTCCAATGAGTTGATTCCAACTCCAGGGGAAAGGGCAAAGTAGGAACGCTTTCAGTTTCTAAGAAAAAAGACACAAGCATCAGTAAATACGGAATAGGCAAGGTTTTCTTACTCAGCTCATGTCTACATCCTTAATTCAGGTTTCTTTAATATTTAAAAATGATTTTACAGCTTCCAATCAAGCAGGCTTTGAGATTTTGTCAGACATCAGATTGTCTAATTGAGGGTCTATTGTTTGTATCAGACACACTTAGAGTCACTTACTAGTCACTTATTATGACAGCACCTTGAACTCAATCTGTAGAAACAGTTTAAACAGATCCATGGATTGAACTCACTGTAAATTCTTAGTGAACTCTGTACCCTGAGATGGTCTCTTGGATGCCCATTTTTAATAATTCTTGAACAACAGATTTTCATCTCCTACTTCTGAAAGATTTTTAACTCTCAGACCACTAATTATACCTTATAGAATTGGACCAATCATCACAGATGCTGCTGTTATTTTGTTTGATGTTATTAAAACAAATTCTCGAAATGTTTAAATTATTCCCTGATAATAAGCCAGGTTATAATTTATAGGGAGACATTAACTCTTTCAGACATTTGGAGTATAACTTCACACACTTTTCTAGTAACCTGAAAGTACCTAATATACTTCTTGACAGTAAATTATGCCCTGACATACTGATTTATTACTTATAACTCGTGAGGTTTCTGTTATACTGGTGACAAAAGAGATGAGCCTTTTAAGAAAATGTTCCATTCAACTTTAACTGAAGAAAAGCATAAAAATAAGCATTTAAAGTATATTAGTGTACAAATCTTTCTTTTTCTTTTATTGAAGCTGTTTCTGACTTACATAAAATATGTATTGTTATCAAAGATATTTCATGGTGATTGAATAAAACTCAACACATTCATTTAGCAATTATTATATACAAAGTATTGTGCCATATACTGTTGAGGAAACAAAGTTAAGCAAGGCTTGATACCTTACATATCCTTGGTTTATTAAGATTTACTTTTTCTTTGCATAAGATGCCAAGTATTCCTATACATGTAAATATATATGACTTATATTTGAGACCAGTAAAAATTCAGAAGGAAAGTTTGAATTACATAATACCAATTACATAAATAATAATAGCAGTTCTTAATTACTGAACCCTTCATATTACTCGACTTTACAGTAATTACATGCATTAATTGATTTACTTTGCCCTACAACCCTATGAGGTGAGTACCCTTATGTTATCTTAAAGGTAAATAAATCGTCACTAACAGCTAGTAAGGTGCAAGGTTGAGTTTGAAAACTAGGTCTGTCTGACTGCAAAGCCTTTGATCTTAATCTCTATCTCATTATGCTTCAGAAACACACATTTTAAGCTGGGTAGAATCAATAAGTAAAAGCCAGTTATTGTAGGATATGGATTTTTGCCACTCTTGACAGACAGAGAGATGTGACATTTCAACTGCTGGCAATAGGTCTTCAAGAGTTCTTCTTAAACATGCAAATCTGTGCTCCTAGAAGGAAAACATATTTAAAAAATAAACATTTTCAGGCTTTTAACATGTGTGTCCTTGCAAAATCTTAAAGAAATGGGCCGAAGAACACGGATGTTTTGATAGGGTTAAGGAGTAACAGGTATGGAATACGGGAGAGACAAACCTGAACAGGAGGTAGGTAGGGAGTACTACCTTCTGGAAACAGGCAGTATGAAAGAACTGAGTATCTGGGGTGAGAGCGCCTAAATGGGAACAAGATGAAAGAACATCTAAAATGAAATTTTATAACTATATAACTTTGCACAAGGCCAATATTGCTTCCTTTAAAAAAAGTTCAACAATATATCATTACCAAGTATGATCAAATCAATTTATATGAATTTTAAAAATATAGTAGCTGCTCTAAGCAATGACTGAGACATAATATCTATTGTCAAAGAGCTTATAATCAAGGAAACATTTTTTCCCTCTTTCACACCTATTTGCTTCATCATTCTTTACATAAATGTTAGATTTTACCCATGACCACCTGCAACATGATTCTGAATTATCATTATGACCCAGAACAGGCATACTAATATAATCAGTTGCTAATTAGTTTTGTTGCTCCTTTTCATTGCAATCACATTCTTAAGTTGGTATAATACTTATCGATACATGACTCATTAACAAAATTTAACTATGATTTTAGCTAAATGCTTAGTTTCCATCATCCTAATGCTAATAATTATAAGGATGATGATGATGATAATAATAATAATAAGCTTAAGTGGTTTTAGGGTTAGAGATGTGAGCTAAAAATGATATCTTCATGATCTGCGTTTATCCTACATCAATAATTTTGCATCAGATTTGCTCAATTTACAAATCAAAAATAGATTTTTCTGTCAGCAAAGTAAGATCAGTCTTGTATCTGAAAATCAAGCACAGCTTGTACATCATCATTAACCATAAAGACTCTGAAATCAGAACTTAGCTGCCAATTTTGTTGATGATGCATAAGACGAAATCAAGTACAGCTGGCTCTTCTGTCCTATGCTAACTCTGCAGTACTGACATTAGTGAAAAATCTGTTTGTTTTTTGTTTCAGGAAATTAAATAGCTATGACTAAAATGAAGCAGAGGGAACAGATATATCTGGGTAATAACCAGGTGCCATTTTTATTTTTAAGTTTATTTTTTTCTTGTAGATTCATTTGATTACTGCAACACTACTTGAATTTGACCATTTGCAATGACCTCCAAGAATATATGTAAAAATTCTTCAAAACCACCACCTAGAGGAGCCCTTTTGTTGATAAATGGGGACCAAACAACCCAAGTCATTTATAATTTAAAATCCAGCATGAGTAAATATAATTTTCTCACTGATTTTTTTTCTTCTAAGAGAGTATCTATAGGCAAATTTCACAATAATTTTTAGAAATAGATTTATTTCCTGACATGTCAATTTGGCTTTTCAGAATGGGCATTTCATATGATGTAGGCTCAACCTTTAAAGGATTCATTGTACAGAAACAAGCCAATTGCTAAATATTACCTTAAAATGAGGGAATGAGAGGATTTTCAATAAGGCAACATTCAGTTACTGGAATGAAACTAAATTCTAAATCCTTAAATTTATTGGAAGTTTGGTGAATCAAGAAGATCCTTCTCCTCTTTTCCCAGCAAGCATTGACTGTGCCGTGTCAGCGCAGGGTTAGAGTGAGTGCCGCTCACACACACTCACTGTCACCACTTCAGGACATTCTGTGAAAGCAATCTTAAGGACTTTTTTTTTTTTTCAAAGACACAAAAAGATGAGGAGAAAGAAAGGAGATAAGAGCAACATATTTTTGAAAGCTGGAAAATAGGTGAGTGAAACCCGACTGCCTTTACAGACCCCAGAGAGTGGAAACTAAGCTGGTAATGGAGAAAGCTGAGAAACACCTTCCATAATACAACAGAATCCTCCAAAGTTTCAGGAAACGGTATCACTAGGTAATCCTGGAATGGAAAGTGCAGGAGGAATGGTGAGTGCTAAAGTAGGAAGGATGCAGTGAAAACTGACTGAGAAGCAGTCCTCTCCTTAGTCTCCCTCCCAACTTCAGGCCAGTGTGGGACTGACTCTTGGTCATAAGACCCACTTGGTCGTAAATCTGTAGTTGTATTTTCTGGAGAAATGCACAATGGTGCTTATGGACTAAGGGCGGCTGGGCACATTTGAAGTCTGAATATTTTGTCGAAAACATCCCTTCATCTCTCTTTCCACACTCAACTCCCAGGACATTGGCAGCCAGACCCCTCCCCTCCAGGAAGGAGAGAGGTGGACTTTTCCCTGGTAACCTGACCAGCGCAACCAGGAAAGACACTAAAATACTGTGAACTAGGATGCCCAAGAAACACCCTCCCAGATTATCTTGCTGTAAAACTCTAGGTTATACATGCAAAGCTCCCAATCAGCTTTTTAGTCTCTCTTTCTTAAGCAAGAACAAATATCTAACATGGAAAAGAGACTGAATTAAACAATCAAGTACAACTTGAGGAAATGGATACTATGTAGAGAGAAATAATTTAAAAATATATATGCATACACATATATTCATATACATATACATACAAGCTATCATTCATATCTTCAAAGATTTTAGAAAAAGATATTTTAGCCTTGAAAAAAGAAAAAAATGGAACATTCAGAGAACAAGAGAACTCCTGAAAAATAAAAAAAAATATAATAGTATATGAAAAACAAAAAAGTTCATAGCAACATTACAATAGCCAAAATGTAGAAGCAACCCAACTGTACACCAAAAAATGAATCGATAAACAAAATGTACAGTGTCCCTCAGTATCCAGCGGGATTTGGTCTAGGACCTTCCATGGATACACAATCCGTGAATGCTCAAGTCCCTTGTATAAAATGGTTTAGCATTTGCGTATAACCTATGCCCATCCTTCTGAATGGTGGGCGGGCTGTTCAATGGGTACAGAGTTTCAGTCTGGGAAGATGAAAAACTTCTGGAGATGATGGTGGTGATGGTTGCACACAACGTGAGTGTACTTAATACTACTGAATTGTATGCTCAAAATTGGTTAAAATGGTAAATTTTATGTTATGTATATTTTGCCACATTACAAATAGATAAATAAAACTTGAAATATATAATAATGTAAGTTGGAAAATAAAGTTGAGGAATTTTCTCAGAAAATAGAGCAGAAACCAAAATAAGATGAGTAGAGAAGATAAGGGAAAATTGGAGAACCATTCTAACAGGTCCAACATTTTCTTTTTTAAAAAGGAGTTTCAGAAAGAGAGATAAAAAGGAAGCATCTAGAAGGAAATCACTAATGAAGTAATTTAAGAAAATTCCCCCAAACTGTAGCTTCCAAATTGAAAGACCTACCCAACTCTCAATATAATAGATGAAAATAAAATGTCAAAGCATATCAATGGAATTTTTTAGAACATTGAGGACAAATAGAAAATCATGAAATCGTCCAGAGAAGAAAAAAACTGGGCAGAAATCACATGGCATTGAATGCAATGGTAAGACTGGAGTAATGCCTAAATTTCTGAATGAAAATTTTTTTTCCACCTAGAACTCTATTACCAGCCAAACCATTAATGAGATAGAAGGGAAGAATAAAGAGATTTTCCAAAATGCGAGATCTAAAAAAATTTACCTCTCAGACACTCTTGCTTGCTGTGGGGCTATTGGGAGATATATTCTGAGAGAAAAATGCGTGCAGAAGGGTGGAGGAGAGACAGAGAGATAGACAGAACATTGAGAAAAAGAGGATTGTATGAACCAGAGGAAACAGGCATACAACACAAGAGAAAGAGGAAGGGGGTTCCCAGGAGGAGGATATGATTACAGGGCGGCTGCTGTTCACCAGGCAAACAGGGCAAACTCTAGAGAGTGGATCTCGTTGGAAAATGCTTGGCTGAGGACAGGGCAGGGCTATCTATCTATAGCCTCACTTCCCTCCACACAGAACAGACGTGCATAGAGAAAATTGGTGGAATTTATATGATCACTTTAAATGATACAATGTATGACATAATATCAGTATGTTCCTGTCTTAAATGGATACACTGAATCCTTTGAGCCAGCACCTTTTGACTTTTATAGAATACAGTGCAGAGGACAATACAAATCTGCATAAATAAACTAAATTCTCTTATATGAACTTTCATGTGTGTACACATGCATGCTTGTGTGTTTGTGCGTGTGTAAAATCTCTGAAAAGATGTATGAGAAGTGGAATCGTTTGGTCCTCAGGAAAGATGTGCAGTTGGGCGAAGGGGTTGTGAGGAAGGCTTACTTTTCAAAATTTATCCTTTTGTTTCTTTTGAATTTTTAAAAATTACAATTTAGAAAGAAATAAATTATATTTCTTAAAAAATACACATAACTTTCACCAAGAAATTTCACTTCTAAGAGTTAAATCTAAGGAAATATCTACCCATAAGCAAAGTGATATAGGTGCAGGGATATCTTCATCCTAGAAAAATACTGGAAAAAACTTACTTGTCCATCTACTTGGTACTGATAAAATAAATTATGTATATTCTTTCAGTAGAATAGTATGCAAGCAGAAAAAATGTAAAAGTTCTTTATATAAAAGCTCTTATACTAATCTATCCCCAGATAAGTTGTTAAGAGAAAATAGACAAGATACATACTCAAACACGTATGTGTTTGTATATACATAGACTACTTCTGTGAGAAAATACAAACATTTTGTAAGAGTGGTTTAGCCTGGAAAGAATTTAATAAAAGGGGAACAAAGATACGATAGAAATTATTCTCCATATACAATTTTGTACTGTTTGAATTTTGAGCATTTGAATATGTTGTCTTTGAAAACCAAATTGAATTACAATTTTAAAAATGTGGGGCATTTTTAAATAGCGTAGATCAGTGGTCCCCAACCTTTTTGGCACCAGGGACCAGTTTCATGGAAGATAATTTTTCCACAGATGGTGTTGGGTGAGGGGGAGGCTGAGCTCAGTTGGTGACACTAGCAACGGGGAGGGGAGCAGCTGTAAATACACTTCCTGCTGTGTGCCCCTCCCCCCACTTCCTAAGTTTCACAGAAGACAATTTTTCCACAGGGTGGGGGTGGGGGCAGCAGAGCTCTGCAGCCTGAACCCTAACAGGCTGTGGACCCAATACTGGTCTGTAGCCCCGGGGGTTGGGGACTACAGTCCTACGTTAATAATATTTTCATCTCAATTCTTTCTTTTCCTTCTGTTGCAAAGCCAGTATGAGGATCTTTCATCTAATAATAACACTCTGGTCGTAGTTCTGCAATGCTTAAGAAATAAAATCTGTTACTCCTGCTGGGATCAGAACAGTTGTCAGCATATGTGGGCAGCAGTGGGTGAAGAGCTTTTGAATGTAAGGCATATAAACTAAATACCAAAGTTGAATGTATTATAAAGTCATTGTTGATATAGGAGAAATCTTACATCAATGATATTTATGAAGACATCTGTCACGTACTTCTCTGTGATACAGATGAGGACAAACTCTATAGCTTTATGCTATCTGTTTAATTAAGATAGACCAGAGATATGGAAAGAGAGGGGTCATAGGAATTCTGAACTGGATTCCAAAGCCATGCCTGGGTCCTTTTGCAATGTCTTGGAGTACTGGCATGGATAAAGGAGGATATTTTCAGGTTCTTCCTTTCTCTTCAATGTATTTATAACCTTATCGGTTATGCATGTTAGAAACTGGGCATGAACTTAACTTTAGAGAAGATCTTTGAAAATGCTATAAATAACTAATATTTAGGAAATTAAGTGGAATGTGTGTGCAATGAAAACCCCCGATATAACATGAGGATGCTATGGTGCAGAGATTAAGAGCCCTGCCCAAGCATTCCACAACTGATGCGTCAGAACAAATCCATTTGTATCCAAAATCTATGTTCACAGACCTTATCGTGCTCTCTATCAAATGCCATATAACCATCTCTCTCCACCCAGATTCATCTAGGACCAGAAACATTTGATGGAATTATACAATTACTAAAGACACCTATCCCACAAGCTTTATTGATCACTATATGAATGTTTACTTTGCTAAACAAAATCGACAGCTTTTCAAGGACATCATTGCTTTTACTGTGGTGCCATCTGTCTCAATACTGAAAACTTGGGTAATCTTTAAATGGGTAAATCTTTAAATGGAATCCTCTTAGCATGACAAATGACTTTAATGGCACTTCTTAACTGAACAAAATAACACATTTTTTAATGGTTCTACAAATGGCCCAATCCACTAGCTTTGAATAGCTCTGAATGAAAGGAGTAGCTTTCAATAGAAATCCTGAGCACAATAAACAGGCAGAAAGGTTTCACTGGTGCTACTGGCAGAGCACTGGGGAGGGACCTGATCCCAGGAGCTTTACGAAAACAACCATGGAGAAAGTGTGGAGTAGAATCACACCAGGGCAAGAGTGACTGGAGATAGGAGGCAACATAGGCAGCTGCTGCCAAAGTCCAGGTAAGAAGTGATAAATATTAAAGTAAGAGGGAAGAAACAGCCACATTATTTATTTATTTATTTATTTTTTTGAGACAGAGTCTCACTCACTTGCCTGGGCTACAGTGCCGTGGCATCAGCCTAGCTCACAGCAACCTCAAACTCCCAGGCTCAAGCAATCCTCCTGCCTCAGCCTCCTGAGTAGCTGGAACTACAGGCATGTGCCACCATGCCCGCCTAATTTTTTTCTACATATATTTTTAGTTGGCCAATTAATTTCTTTCTATTTACAGTAGAGACGGGCTCTCACTCTTGCTCAGTTGCTAGTTTCGAACTCCTGACCTTGAGTGATCCGCCCACCTGGGCCTCCCAGAGTGCTAGGATTACAGGTGTGAGGAATGGCGCCCGGCCAGCCACATTTATTAATTTTTATTTTTTTTGTGGAGGAGGGTGGTGTTTAAAGGCAGAATTGACAGGATGCTCTGATTCCTTTGGGAAGGAAAGTTGTTTTGTTTTGTTTTCCTCATGTCTGCTCTTGAGTTATCCGCTTACCCATAGCTCATTCAGGGGCCACGTTCTCCTCCATGCTCCTCTGCAGGCCTCCACTCATTTCCCTGCTACTTGCCAGAATGCTCCTCGATGTTGGGACCATAACATTGGCCTTGGGGAGGTGCAATGTGCATGCAGAAGGTTACACATCCCTATGTCAATAAAAACTCTTTGTTAAATAGAACTTTACCAATAGTTCAAAGGAAGAGAGCAACAAAAAACTGAAAAATTTTCACAGGTATCCCTATAAAAGCACACCCTCATTCCTAGTCTTGGTTCCTTGTCTCAAAGTTCACCATTATGTACTCTCCTCTTAGAATGTGTCTTTCCTCATCTCTCTGTAGTACATACATATATCCCAAGGGCAAACAATTATTATTAAAAGCAATTCACATTAAAGAAAATAAATATTTCTCCAAACATAATATAATCTGTACTGAGTCTATTCTAAATGGAGACAACTGGATACATTTTTATGCAGGGTAATTGTTGATTGCCACCTTGTTCCTCCTTCTGCTTCTAAGCATGTCCAGATTCCTTCAGGTCTGCAAGAAAAAGGATCCATTACAGTAACCTTTTCAAGTGACAGCAACTCCCTTCCTGCACAAAGATACTGAAATCATGGGATTATTCAAGAGTATAGATATGAATGTGTGTGTATATGTGTGTGTGTTTGTATAAAGTGGGTGGAGAATCATTTTTCCAGTTTTGTTTTGCTTGGCTCTTTAAGGTATCTATAAATTTATTGACTATTTGAGCTATTTGCTTTGGTTCTTGGCTATAATAAAATACTATGTACTCATAAATATTGTATAGATTTGGGGAGTAATCAGACATACATAAGAAATAAAATGCTTGAAGGGAATAGAAAGAAGGTCTTCAATTTAAAATAGAGAAGAAAGATTGGCAAATTTAAAGAATAAGAATTCTTATACTCTGTAATATATTACTATACTTATGCAAGCATAAAATATAGAATGCTATCATATGATGAGTTCTGGTGAAATTAGAACTTTCATTCTGTTAGAATTTTTAATTTAGCTCTTCTTGCTATTGTGATACATATTTTAATTCACAAGGATTAGATGAACTCTCAGCTCCCAACCATAAAAATGTATGAATCTCTCTGCTTTCTCACTCATTCATTTAATGTATCCAATTACTTATTTCCACTATTCATAGATAATTATTGATAGCTTAATGGCCAGGCCCTTAAAAATTGCAAGATGAATTGGAGAAAATTCCTGCCCTCATGGAGCTCAGTCTAATAGCAGAAGAGCTAGAGAAATAAACAAACAAAAAAGGCATATAGGCCACAATAGAGGGATGTGACCTAAGTCAGTGATCTATTTTATTTTATTTTATTTTTTATTTTTTCAGTGATCTTTTTAGAGTATACAGGTGGGAGGCATGAGGAGCAGGACAGTGTCAAGTATCAAGTAAAATTTCACATAGGCCAGGGCATTTGAGCTGAGTCTTTTTTTCTTTTTTGAGACAGTTGCCTGTCTCACTCTGTTGCCTAGGCTAGAGTGCCATGGTGTCAGCCTAGCTCACAGCAACCTCAGACTTCTGGGCTCAAGTGATCCTTCTGTCTCAGCCTCCCAAGTAGCTGGAACTACAGGTACAAGCCACCACACCCGGCTAATTTTTCCTATTTTTAGTACTATAGAGATGGGGTCTTGCTCTTGCTCAGGCTGGTCTCCAACTCCTGAGCTCAAGCGATCCTCCCACCTCTGCCTCCTAGAGTGCTAGGTTACAGGAGTTAGCCACTCGCCTGGCCTTGAGCGGAGTCTTAAAGGGTAGACAGTGTGGGGACGTTCATTCCAGACTAAGGAAATAGCTAGTGCAGAGGCGCTAATGCATGAAGCAGCATGGGCAATCTGGGGAACTACTATTAGTTGACCAGGACTGGAAGTTGGAGGTGTGGCTGCAGCAAGGAAAAGGTGGGAGATCCACAGGGGACAAAGTCTATTATGTCATATCTCCAGCTTTGACCCTGAATTTTCCCTAGTAGTGATAGGAGGGTTTTATATCTCTGTGGCAAGAAGAGTTCCATCCTCTCTGGAAATTTAATCAAAAATGAGCACTCCAATTTGATTTTGACATGCCACATGTGTGATAATATTAAATCTCCCCTTCCCCTGTCCAGTAGCAGTAAGCGTAATAAGTCAATATCATATGTATATGCATTGATGTCAGTCAACAGGTAAGTTCTGTACTTACTATGCCCCAGCACTAAGGCCTTGACTAGGTAGTTGGGATAAACATATGAATTAGAGCTTTTCCTAATTCAAATAACTGAAAATTCAACCCAAACTGACTTTAGCTAAAAGAGAACACGCTTACTTGACTTGAAAGGCCAATGGTTAAGTCTAGCTCCAGAAACAGCTTGCTTTAAGCTCAGAGGTCTTCAGCACCCAGATTTTCCTTCTCCATCTCTTGGATCTACTTTTTCTGTGTTGGCTCTATTCTCCGGCAGCCTCGTGCCCTGTAGTGGCAGTTTACACTTTTCCATGTTTAAGCACAAAGAACAGAAAAACAGAGAGATCCTTCCTGATGGCTCCCACACAAGTCTCGACACGTCACTTTGGCTCCCGTGGGTGCAGACTGCTCCATGGAAGGAAGAACTAGTGTAATCTCCGGTGCAGATGAGTGAGGTCTAGGTAGTATTTATGTGATGATTCATACTCCATGACACACCTGGATGCTAACACCATGACCTCATGGGACTCCTTTGCCAAGTCTATCCTGGACCTCTTCTTTCTTGGGCTCTTCCTCCTGTCTCAGCTTCCAGTTCCCTGTTTCTCCCTCAGGAAACTCCGATCATTCTCCCTTTCTGTCTCCCCTTGTATGTGTCCATGAAGAGCCTTTTTCTAGTTTCAGGAAAATTCTTTCCCCTTTGAAGTTTCTTCCAGATACTTTGGACGCTTTCCCTTGAGAATTTAGGATTTCATAAAACAAAGCCAGAAATACTTATAGACCGTTTTTGTTTGCCCTTCTTTTTGCCTCTTCCTGGGACAGTGGTCACCAAGAAGGAGATCTGCTTATAGGGGTGGGGAGTGAGAAGAGGAGCAATAGTAGAAAATACAGAGAGAAGAAAAATACACACATACTATAGATTTCAAAATATTATCCCAAGGAATCACGTACATAATGATGTTTCACATTAGTCATGCAGGAAGTTTTTTCTTTGCTTTCTCTCTCTTTTTTTGTCTTTTGAGATCTGAGGAGGTGAAGACCATTGGAAAATAAGCTGGTGAATGAGTGGGCCTCACAGGAGATGTGATGTAAATTAAACCTTGACAGGTATTATATGCCACTCTTTTTATTATCATGGAACTTATGTCTCAGTCTCAGCTAAGAATTTGCCCTGTTCCTACTTGTGTATAGTAAAGTTAAGTAATCTTTTGTGTTCATAATTTTTAATATTATGCCTATGGAAAATTGATTTTTAAAAATGTATTAGCTTAGTTTCTGCTTTTCTGAGTATTGAATCCTTTATTAGCATTTCTAAACACACATTTTTTAAAAAAGAATTTCTAGCAAAAGAAACTCAAGGAGTCATTGGATTTTCCATATGTACCATTCAATGATACCTCTCCATGGAATGTATGGATTTAGGCTCCAACCAGAAAAACAGTAATTGCTCTAGTTATTTAACACAGGGAGAATTTAACACAAGTAATTTGTGAAACAGGTGACAGAAGAGTTGAGAAACCTGAAAGGAGCCAGTAATTTTCAATAGGATGAAGCCACTATAACTACTAAGATGGATGAATAAGGGAAGAGGCTGTGTTACTGAAGCCCCAGGTCAGAGGTCACAGGTCATTTGGTAGGAGCTGGAGTGTGGGGGTGAGGTAGAGAATACCCTGGCTTTTCTCACCCTCCAGCTGTTGGCTTTCCTGCTGGTGCTTCCCATTCAAACCCAGTGGCAGCCAGCTCACATCTTAGAGAGCCTTGCAAATGCAGTCTGCAGGGATCAGTGCCCCTGTGATATGGACCAGAGGAAGGGAAAGAGGAGCCAGGAATGGATCTGAGGACAAATAGGCCTAGGACCCGAAACCCTCACAAAGGATTTTAAAAAATTCATTGTGTTAACGGGTTTGATGTTGATAATTTATACTGGAACAACAAAGTTGTTTGCAATGGCTCCAATCAATGAGATACTTTCCATTGAAGGATTAACCATTAGAATCAGGACAACCTTATCAGAAGGGCTGGGCATGTATGAACGTCCGTATTTTGAATTGATGTTGGGAGCCCTGCAATTTTACTGAACTTTGTCAACCTTATTTATTTATTTATTTCCAGACAAGGTCTTGCTCTGTTGCCTGGGCTAGAGTGCAGCAGTGTCCTTATGGTTCACAGCCACCTCAAATTTCTGGACTCAAGTGATCCTCCTGCCTCAGCCTCCTGAGTAGCTGATACTATAGATGCGTGGTACCATGTCTGGCTAATTTTTTATTTTCTATAGAGACAGGTTCTCGCTATTGTCCAGGCTAGTCTCTAACTCCTGGCCTTAAGTGATTCTCCTGCCTCCAACTCCCCAAACGCTAGGATTACAGAGAAGAGCCACTGAGCCCAACATTATTTTCAAGAACACTGACTGCCTAAGTTTCCTGGCCTTTTATATAAAGAAAGCTCCTAGCTCTATAACCTGGGTTGTCCCTTTTCTTTCATTTGGAATACTGAGAATCCCTCATCACTTTTCTTGTTAACCTTCTATTTATCCATTTGAAGGTTGCTGAGATTTGCTTATACTATAACTTCAGTGATATTTTCCAAGATGAATTTCATTTCAATCACCAAAACTATACTGCACAGGATATGGCAAATATTTGTGCTCATTCCTTTGAAGCCTCAACCTGGCTGGCATCACTCTCTAAATATAGATCAGGATTAACTGAGTAATAAGGCAAGAGTGCACAGTAGTTTCTCTAATAAATTCTTCAATACTGTTACGGTAGAAGAGTCTTTCAAAGGATTTAACCTCAGATAGACAGAAACTTTGGAAGTATCGGGAAATGTCCACATTCTAAAACATTCACTGTGTTTGAAAAATTGTAACAAGCTTTATACTATCAAGGAGATCCAAATAAAAGATTTTTCATATTTTCAGTCCCCTATTTCACAAATTTTGCATGACTTTTTTTGCTTTGTTTTGAGAAAACTGGTTGTTTTACCCTATTTCTACTGTTCCTAGAGCTAAGCTTTTTTTCCTCCTCCCTTATAAAACTGGGTATGTTTCAAATTTAGCTAGAATATGCTAGTTCTCACTCTATTAAATTTTAAGGGCAGGGATAAGGGGGAAGGAAACTGATCAAGGCAAAAAAGGGATAAGAAGTAAGCAAAAGAGTTTTAATTTAAAGCTATGTGAGAAGCTGGATGTTTCAGGAAAATAGCAGCGAACAAAAAATACCTTTCTATAAGGAGCAGAAGAAAGAATCTTAAGGCAAAGTTAAATTAGAGATATCAAACATTTTATGGGAAAGGGAGACAGATGTGCTTTTGGAACTGGAAAAATATTGGTTAACTTTTAGTTGTGATCACACTTTCGTGGTGTCTATGTGAAGCAAATGTTTTGGCTCCAAACTTGTTTTTGCCACTTTTATGTTTTCTGCCTTCACCAACCTGAAGACAGAAGAATAAGGCATATTTTGACTGTCTGGTGAAGGTCAATCAGAAGATTTTCCCTTGTCTTAGCAATCTACTCACTGATAAACAATTTAGTGTCTTTCACCTGAAAAATTCCTCTTAAAAAACACACAAGCCAAAAATGGGGGCAAAATAGGAGAAAGTGGTCCTAACATTAACATATTTTGCTACCTATGATCAATTTATGCACATAAGAAAATGTGGTGTTAGAAAGGGCCTAAGACATTATCAGACTGTAAATGTGTCTGCTGTCACATAAATGAAACATATAGTTGACAACTACTCTTTTCTATTCAAATAGTTTTAATGGCACGCTTAAATTCATTCTTTTTTTCTGAAGTGGCCCTAATATATTTAAAAATGTACATAATTTTAAAATGTCAGAAGACCAAATTATTCTACATTTGTTACCCCTTTCCTACCAGACACTGGGTGTTCATGTTAGTTTAATCAAACTTTATACCTGACCATGGTGCTATCCTTTATTGTCCTAGAATGTTAGTGTAGAAAAGGAACCTCCAGTTCTTCCTTTTAAAGATGAGGAAAGTGAGGCAGAGAGAGGCTGTGATTTCTGCAAGGTGACACAGAAAAGTACAATGAAGACATAATTAAAACTCTCAGTTCCTCATCTTCCAAACCCCAGCCCAGTGTACCTTCCACTGTACCACTTGGCCTTGACTGTGAACCATTTCCTCAGCCTTTTTACCTCACTCAATCCACGCCAAGTTACTTCAACACCTTGCTTGCATCTGCAAATTATCTCTATATCAGCACCCCAGAAAATGTGGGGTGCATATATATTTGAGACTTTTTCTTAGGAAGAAATAGGGGCTTAAGCGCTCATTAACAAGACTACCTCCCAGTTGTACCAACACCTTCATGAGTAGGACAGGCGTCAGGGTGTGTGACAGAATTGCCTGTCTATGGAAGTTAGCAACGGAAATGTCTCTACAAAAATATTTACCTAGAAAGAAAGCCCCTTGTAAGTGGTAGTCGTGATTAAAGTCCAAAATGTTGAAAGATCATAAACTTTCAGAAAATTCAAATAAGCTACGTTCAAGGCCTATATGCTAAGTTTAAGGTCACAAAGACCTGCAGAAATACAGGGGAGCTGAGGGTTCAAGTCATGGAACCCACGCTGCTTCGACTGCCCTTAATTAAAACAGTAACGTGGGCCTGGCTCCACAGAAACCTAGATAATGCTTACGTTTAAGACGGAAGTTTTTCTTTCTGTGTTTTTAATCGAGGACACACTACCACAATAATACATCCGATGTGTACTAGAATGGGTGTGGAGGGGAAGCAGAGAAAGCACCGAGACGTTTTACACCAACTAGGGAGAAACACCGTGATTCTTTCGCTAAACTTGTCGCCTAGTTCCCTCCCCGCCACCCCGGCGGGTGTGGGCGACCCTCACTCCCGCCTCGGGGGAGCGCGTCCGGCCCCGGCTCGGCTGGCTCCTTCCCCTCCGCCAGCCGAGCTCCTCGAAGGGCGGGCCGGGGCGGGGAAAGGGGAGCGCGGCGCGAACGGCCGAGGGCTGCCCGGGGCGGGCGGTTTTATTGTTTCCTTTCGCCCTCCTCCTCCCGCGCCGGGCCCCGGCGTCACTGGAAAGCCGCCCGAGCAGCAACCCGGCGGCGGGTTATTTATAGAGCGGGCTGCGCGCGCGTCACGGAGCCCGGCCCGGCTGACTGGGCCGCTGACGCGCTTGGCCGCGGGGCCGAGTCCGTGGGGCTGCGCGCCGGGCGCCGGCGACAATGGGCTTCTGTGTGTGCAGCCGCCGCCGCCGGGGGCTGGGGGAGGGGAGCGAGCGGCAGCTCCCCCACTCCCCTACCTCTCGGCCGCGACCCCCGGAAAGGTAACCGGCCTCTTTCGCCCCCCGGCCAGGACCCAGGCCTCACGGGCTTTTGTTTTCTTTTTTTTTTTTTTTTCTATTTCATCAATAAGTTCCCTTTGCCCCAGGCTCCGCTTCTACTTCCCCCGTTTCCCTCCCCACAAGCCCCAACATGACGAGAGAGGGGGACTTATCCGGCCGCCGGGGGCCACCACGTTGTGCGCCCCGGGGAGCGGGACCCACACCGGGCGCGCCCAGCAGGGGACGCGGTGACCGAGGGGCCGGGAGCGCCGGGCAGGTAACGTACCCCGGACCTGGAGCGGGGGCAGGGGGCTTTGTGTGGGGCGCGGGGAGGGGAGCGGAGGGGGTCGTGAACGCCGGGCAGCCCTTCCGGGACTCCGCGCTCCCCTCCTTCCCGCCCCCCTCGCCTGCGCGCAGGAAGCCAATCTGGGTGTGTGGCGCGAGGAGCGAAAGAGAAACTTCTCCTGCGTGACTGACTAGATGAGGCTCCTCCCGGGAAGCCGAGATAATAGAGCACCCCTCTCCCGCCCGCCGCCCTGCCCCCGTCCACTCCTCCTCTCGCCCCACCCCGCCGACGCCTCGCTCGAGCGCCCCCCGCCCCCAGCCCCGCAGTTCGCTGACGCCCCAGCCCCGCGGAAGGAGGGGCTGGTGAGGATTTTAGGGACTTGCTGGGATGCGGAGACCGCTCTGAACCGTCCCCTTCCAGCTGCCGGGAGCTGGGAAAGCTCGCTCCGGAGGCTCTCGCACGTGGCAGGCAGGCAGAGAACTTGCTGTGTCTTCTAGGAAATTACAAGCGATTTGTAATGCACTCTCGCTAATTGGGAGTTCAAAATTAAACTTTAATAAAGCATTTGTGTCGTCTCGTCTAATTGTGAAAGCCTCCATCCGTCCTGGTAGATAGGCTCTAAGTCTCAAGTTAATGGCGCTAAGCTAGATTTCCCCCCCAAGTACAATTCCGTCAGCCGTCGTCGGCGCAGCTGGATTTCCGTAAGGTACAGATGTTGCTAATGACAGCTTAAGCACGGATGGGCAGATAGCATACGGAATGCAACATGTTGCCATATGGTTCCTTTAGCCTTTCACCTCTAGGGATATCAATCACATATATTCTGGGAGGAACTTAATGACTCTCTGAACAGCAAAATGAATTACCTGGTACAATTTATATCCCTTGACCTGATACGTTATAACAACAGGAAGATAGCATCTCACAATTTCTGTGGTATAAATTGAGCTACAGAGCTACATTTCAAATTCTATAACATCTATTTGTAGTTTGAGGGGCCCTGTCAAATCATTCTGGCTGTAAAATCTGTTTCTGCATTGCCTTCCTTCTCCCCCTCCCACCTCTGGACGATGCAATATTTATAAAGTTTCCCAAAACTGTGGTCTTGGAAGTTGCCAAGCATCCGACTAATCGATGAGAGTATGGAGAAATGGGAAATACTACTTCCAGACATAGTTATTTAAACAAGAGTTGGCCATCTTTAGGAACACCATACGTTTAAATCCGGAAAATTAAAGGACTCTTAGGGAAAATGTGTTTTCTGCTAGTTGTTTCAATATGACTCCTAAATCCATTAACTATTTGAAATTCTCCATTTATTTTTAAACATTCATTCTTGAACTTTGGAAATTAACTTACAGAAAACAGTTCTCAGAAATATGAACTATAAGAAATGTAAGTAAGACCTCCTCAGCAAACCAATTTCTATTACCCACAGCCTCACACACTCACTATTTATGTATCTTAACTTGAATCATGTATATGGTGGTACTGATAGTTTGCTGTCTCCTCCCAACATGTCAGTGATAGCGTACTGAAGTCACTGCTTCACTCCTATTGGAATAATTCTGTAATATTTCACAGGATTTATTTTTAGATATCCTGGTGACTAGTAAAATATTTCGATTCCTTCTAATTTCAGATTATAAACATGGCTGTCTTTTATTGTATCACTTTTTTTCATTCACTAATGCAGATAACACTAAAAGACAAGCAATAACTTAAGGGTAAAAAAGTAAAATAATGTATTACAATTTTTAAACTTTACTTTTACTTATTAAGGGATATCTGATAGCTAGAGACATGCCATGTTTTAAAAGTTTTTGCCTCTGGCAATATGAAAAGCACATTAATTCATGTGAACTGATAGACTAGGAAAACACATAAAATATTGATCAGTCTAAAAAAGTACATACTTCCAGTCAAGTTTCAAAAAGTATTAACACTTCAAAAGTTTGTATATATACCATGTTTTTGCAGAATAATTTTGAAATTACAAGACAAAGTTTCTCTTTTTTTCCCCCTTTGTAATGGCTTGTTACCTAGTGCTTGAGTTAGTTTAATAATTTTGTTGATTATCATCAAATAAGATCTTTTGTGTATGCATATAGCAGAAAATCTTATATAGAGCATATTAAGATATATCTAATTTATGGCTCCCTTCTTTTCTGGGCCTGTTTTTTGTAATCTTTTAGTGGCTGAGGTTTTATTTCTCTTTTTAGCATCAGCACTCCATGTGTTTTAACCATGATCAGTGGTGAGTTTGTCGATAATGACCCCATCTCCATGACTTGTGAATAAGCAGTGAGTGTGTCCTTTAATCAGTCACACAGAACTTGCCTTATAAAGCTGTTATTGTCATGAACAGATATTGCAGTCTTTTGTCAGGGCCAGTGATTATTAAAGTGTCCCTCCTTCAAAAGCCAGGCAGATAGTCCTGCTGTGCTTCATTTCAGAATTCAAGTCCATTAGTAAATAAAATCCCAAGCTGCACTACTTGCTTTTTCTCAAGTTATAGCTTTACATGTATTTCATTAATAATTGTGAGCCCTTTTGTAGACATTACCATGTATATTTTTGGTATACATATGTGGCAACAAAAACAAGATACGTGTCTTGCAGCATGCCTTTTATTTTAAATGAAGATTTGATGGCTCTCCATTGTTACTCTAAATGAGGTGGCTGGATGCCAAGGGGAACCCTATAGCCAGAAAGTGCTAAAATTGTTATTGTCTACCGGGAATGACTTTCTGTTTTTTGAGCTCTCAACTCACCTCCTTTCAGTATTGCCCTTTCATATTGATAATCTGAGAATAAGTTTGGATATGAAAACTCTTGAAAATATGTTTTTGTTGTCCAAAAAGATTTTCACTGGTGTTTCTAGTTGCCTGCTAGTTTGCGGCCTTTATCTTGAGCTGGCATGTTTCTTCTAACTGAAAGTGAAGAAAGACTATTAGAACTAGGTATATTCCCATGCTAAGTAATTTTAATTGTGATGTAATCCTAGCTGCTTTCTTATTTTTACTAATGAAAAAAATTGAAATATTTAAGATTGGCCAGGTGTGTATTTTTCTCAAGGTAACATGGGACAGTTATGGATAGGCATTGGGCCTCTAATGGAACTCTTCATTCAAGTGAGGGGGGTGGAGGAGGAGAGCAACCCCGAAATAGCATAGTCCCATTGCACTTGCCCTGTTTGGTTTTCAAATGCAGAATCCACATTGTTGCATTGGAAACGTGTTTCTGTCTTTCATAGCATTTCATTTAAGAAAAAAATTTTAAAAACTGTCTATCTGTAAATATTTAACCAGCTAAGCAGGAAACAGCCTATTATTTTCAGCTATCTGCAACTTTGTTTTTATCTGGGTTAGAATGAGTGCCATGTAAATACCACAAAAAATTTTGACTTTCATTGTCCTTACTTTGAAGATTGACAGAGGCTTCTTTAATTAATCTTGTTCTCTTTCATGTTCTGTATTCAGATATTGAAATACAGTATTTTTATACATTTATAAGATTGTGTTTGCATTTATTTAATTTATGTTCTTTTTTTAAAGCATGTAGCCTTGAATGTTTGTTCTACTTTTTTTTTTTTTTTCACATCATTACTCTGGTACTGCTTGATGTAACTTGATTAGCTCCCTCCCCAGTCATGATTGGTAATTAAAATAGGCATTAAAATTAGTCACTTAGCAATTTTGCTGTTCAATTGGCAATTAAATTACTTAATTGCAATTAAAGTCCTAATTTTAATTGGCAAAATGATAGATGTAGATTTAAGATAATATGTATAAATACTTTAATAAGTGTCTATATAAGGATTACTTAATTACTCAACTTCAAGTTTATGCTGTTAACTTTAGAACTTTTAAGTGAGCAATGAAATTTATATTACATCTATTCAAAGGATATGGTAATTAGATTTATTACTTATCACTATAAGGGTCCTTGCTATAAGTTACTTTTGTAGTGTTAAAATTGTAGGCTTGATAATTGCAGAATTATGATGAGGAAAAGGGCATATATGTCTTTGTAGTAATATATCCATACTTTATCTTCCTTTTTTATTAAATTGAGAGGTTCTTATATACCAGTTGGTCTGGGGGGGGAGGGTTATTTTATCATTAAAGGTAGAACAAAAACTAG